GACCAGTATTGTGATAACACCAGGATTGTGGTGATAATAAGCACTGTGCGTAGTATTGTGGGATGAGTAATTGTGGCGAGGGAGAGAATCGAGGTAGCCACACTGTGTGGCAGCCATTCTTGTTTTGCTCATCATACTAGCTTAGTAGTTCGCTATGGTGAACACATATGTACATGGGTATATACACTGTGTGTATATACCCATGTACATATGTGTGTAGTATTGTGGGAGGAGGAATTGTGGTGAGGGAGCGAGGGAGAGAATTGAGGTAGCCTCACTGTGTGGCAGCCACTCTTGTTTTCTTCATCATACTAGCTTAGTGGTTTACTATGGTGAACACATTTGTACATGGGTATATACAATGTGTGTATATAGTGTAGTAACAGCAACAGGAGTATGTTGGGAGGAGCTATTTTGGTGAGGGAGGTGATGTATTCGTAGCGTCATCTGCTGGTTGCTGTGTGATTTCTCATGCAGTGTATGATGGCCTGGGGACCAGAGCCAGAAGCTGGCCCCCTCAAGAGAGGCACAAGGAGCAATGGCCTAAAGAAACCCCAGTGTAATTGGAAGCAGTCTTTGTCTGCCATCTACCAGGTCAGGCACCCAGAAAAGTAGGAATTTCAAAACAAACTTTTGCTGGTCAAAAATTGCATAAAGTCGAACTAGTAAACAGAACTCCCTAATCAAAAAGAAGGAAACATACGTAACATCACCACAACCACCGCACATCCGTCTGTGCAACCCCCCTCCCTGGGAGGGGGAGGGGGGATCCCAGACCCCCCACGCTGGCAACTCTCCTCAGTTCAGAGGCCGAGTATCAAAAACGCGAAAAAACGTCGACCTGGAGGGAGGGAGGGATGCCGGGGAGCCTCTGGGTCTCACCCAGAAAATAGCGTTTCATTACATTCAATGCTGGTTTTCTGACGAGAGCCCCTTCGGCTCCCCCGGAGATACCTAACCAAAGATATGGAGCTATCTAACCAAAGATAACAAGAAAAGGGACTCACCCGGGAAGCGGTCGTCACTCGCTCCTCAACTCAAAGTCGAGACAACAGGCCGCAACCTGCGACCCAAGGCTATACACGCTCGAGAAGAACTAGGAACATTAACAAGGTAACGTGCAGCCAGGACCCTGTTCGACCTTCAAAAGCCCCGTGCCCCAAAAGATAGGCCAGGACATTACCAAAACAGCAGCTGAATGCCGAACTTACGATCAGCGTGGGCACGGGGAAAGACCGCAGGCTGGCTGGACCGAATAATCCTGCGAACAAAGACCCGAGCCCTAGAATAAGGAAGAAGGGAAACTGGGTCAACCCAAAGCGCATCCTCTGCCACAGAGGCCGTAACGTGCAAATAACAGTGAAGAGCCACAGACACAAAACATGATGCAACCCCAGCCGAACCAACCAAGCATCAACAACCCAAGGACCCCTTCGGGAAGCAGCAGATGCATTCTTCGCCAAAAAGAAGGAGACGGCTGCAAATGAAGAAAAGACCACCAGGAATGAAAAAGCAGAAACCCCTGTGCCGGAGGAGAGCATGAAACTCTCCGACCCGACCCCCAAAGGTCAATGCCAACAAGAAAAAGAGCTGTTGGAAATCAGTCCTGAACCGAGGGGCCCACCCCAAACCGAGGAGAAGGGAGAAGAGAGCACTCGGTGCAATGGCCAGGACAGCTCAGGCGGAGCATGAGCAGGCCAGAGATGAAAACATCGCCTGAGAAAGCTCTCAGAACAGAGCAGAAGTGACATCCACTCCAAATGCAAGCTGCAGCGGCTCCACCAGTGCCACCCGAAACGAGGCGACAGTATCTGGCATAAGAAGATGGTTATGAAACAACCAAGAAAGGACAAAACAACCGACGAAGAGACAAGTGCCAACACAACAGTCTCTTGACACTGGGGAGATTTGCTGGCGAGGTGGTCTGGGACCCCCCCTGGGGAGAAGGGGTTGCGCAGACAGATGCGCGGCGGTTGTGGTGACGTCATGTTTGTTTCTTTGTTTTTCATTAGGGAGTTCTCTTTGCTAGTTTGACTTTCAATTTGCAAATTTTGACCAGCAGTAGTTTGTTTTGAAATTCCTACCTTTTTGGGTGCCTGACCAGGTAGATGGCAGACAAAGACTGCTTCCAATTACACAAGGGTGTCTTTAGGCCATTGCTCCTCGTGCCACTCTTGAGAGAGCCAGGTTCTGGCTCTGGTCACTGGTAGGATTAGAACTCCTTCGATTGACTGTTGCCACGGTCTAATATATACACATCAGCCCGGTATAGCTCCGGGAAGCCGAAGGGGCTCTCCACAGAAAATATTAGAAAGTTTTTTTTGTAAGCTGAGTAATTGACAGTTGGAACAAGTTAGGTGAGAAGGTGGTTGAGGCCAAACCCGTCAGTAGTTTCAAAGCATTATACGACAAAGTACTGGGCAGACAGGACACCACAAGCATAGCTCTCATGCTGTAACAACATTTAAGTAATTACATATTTAAGAGTTCCTATTTATCACTTAGGGTAGGAATACAAGAGCTAGAAGACCATGATGATAAATGTCTAATGAGCCAGATTTGCCAAGATTTTACCATGACATGTGATGCACAGGCAACAGTATGAAAGAACAGTTTCCAATCATCCTGAAAACTGGGACAGTCCACCTGAAGATAAGTGAAACTTATCTTTACCTTTTCAATGAAGAATAACAAATTAATGTTCATTTGTTATGTTGGTATCCATCTCATCTGAGAGGCAGGGACCAAAACCCCTCTTTGGGAGTTTTGCATATGGCACACACATCAGTTATCTGCATATTCTTTTGCATCTAGAGGTTTCTTATGTTTTGGGGGTAACCATACTGAACCAGTTTCCCCATGCGTCAGGGAAGCCCTGACACATGAGCCCTAAAATCCAGCCCATCAACCGTGAAGAGCTCAGTCCCCCAGGGTACTGTGCTTGCTCCAGTACTTTTTCTCATCCTCATATCGGACATAGACAAGAACACAACCTATAGCACTGTATCATCCTTTGCAGATGACACTAGGATTTTCATGAGAGTAGGCAACAGAGGACACGGCAAACCTCCAATCAGATGTAGATCAGGTCTTTCTATGGGCTACAGAAAATAATATGATGTTTAACGAAGATAAGTTCTTCGTTAAGGAAAAAGGAAAATATAAAAACGGAAACCACGTACAAAACTCAGGCAAATCATAACATAGAACGAAAAGGCAATGTAAAGGCTCTGGGTGTAATCATGTCAGAAGACCTTACCTTTAAAGAACACAATAAAGTAGCCGTCACAACTGCAAGAAAAATGACAGGTTGGATAACAAGAACTTTTCACACTAGAGATGCTATACCGATGATGATACTTTTCAAAACGCTTGTGCTCTCTACAGTGGAGTACTGCTGCACAATGACAGCCCCTTTCAAAGCTGGAGAAATTGCTGACCTGGAGAGCGTGCAGAGATCCTTTACTGCTAGAATCCACTCAGTAAAACATCTAAATTACTGGGACCGACTAAAGAGCCTTAATCTGTACTTCCTTGAGTGCAGGCGGGAGAGATACATAATAATTTACATGTGGAAAATAATTGAGGGGCTGGTCCCAAACCTGCACACTGAAATAACATCACATGAGACCAGAAGACATGGCAGGCTGTGCAGAATACCCCCGTTGAAAAGCAGAGGTGCAACAGGTACTCTGAGAGAGAACTCTATCAACATCAGAGGCCCGAGACTGTTCAACACGCTTCCACTACACATAAGGGGCATAACTGGCAGACCCCTCACAGTGTTCAAGAGAGAACTGGATAAGCACCTCCAAACGATACCAGGCTGTGACTCATACGTCAGGCTGCGAGCAGCCGCGTCTAACAGCCTGGTTGATCAGTCCAGCAACCAGGAGGCCTGGTCGATGACTGGGCTGCGGGGATGCTAAGCCCCGGAAGCACCTCAAGGTAAGGGGGCATTTATGTTCCAATGAAGGTGGGTACTCTCATTAAACTTTATATTAGCTAACTGGCATCACTTTGTGGTCTTATGTTCCTATAATTATCTGTATAACTACCAAAGTGTAGTTATAGGATGAAAGCTATACTTGCAGTGTCCTATTTTCCCTATAATATTTGTCAAGTTATGAAGCTTATGATGGTTTTGCATCCACAACATTCTTTAATTTATTCCATTCATCGGCTGTTCTGTGTAATGGAGAATTTTATTTGTTGCTATCCTTGATGATGCATACAGTACTAGTAGTTACAAAAAGTTTCCCTTATAAATTGTCGATTCTCTTGCAATTTCGTCTTTGGGGATAACCTCATTTTCCTCTGTTTACAATTTTTTGTATATTTCACACTTCCAGTTTCTGCTCGTAGCATGTGTTTGAGTCCAGACGCCATAATCTGGGTGCTGACAAAATAAATGTTACTGTCATTGTTAAGTCCCTAGTGGCATTTTTGGCCTGTACTGGTACATTATCATCATCATCACTGTAGGCCTTGTGGTTAAAATGTAAAACCTCTTTGGGGTACCTTGGTAAGGTGATGGGAGCTACTGAGGGGCTTGCCTAGAATTAAAGCATCTTGGTTTACACCTTGTGGTCTCATCACCCATATCCTGAGTGGATGATTTCTCCCCACCCCATGAAAGTGTAAAACTGAGTAATGATAATGTATACATGTGCTGTACTGTATTTGTATAATACAGTAGTAATACAGTATTTATATCAGATAGGAGCCCATGTGCTAATATGTTATGATTATTTTACCTTTGTACCTTCTCATTCATAAGCTGAGAAACTCTAGTAAGTGCAGACAATTTGCCACTTTGTACTTTATAAATGTACGTGAACGTTTCTCTTTCAGATTACCAACTTAAAATAGTCACACAAAAAATGTAAATCCTTTGATCTGACAATGTGAATTGTTTATTGCAGGCATAAAGAATAATTGTAACTGAAAATCAAACAAGAGACCAATTACTAGAAGAACCTATTCCCAACTGAACTTACCTGCCACAAGTAAAATTGGAGGTTTGTCAGGGTGTAACTCCATCTGACGTGCAATCCAATCACCATCAAAATGAGCGTACCACCTGTAGGACAATCAGTTACCCCTTATAATGAACACTTAAACATAACACAAATCACACCTTCATAAAATCACATGCGCTATATCAGCATAAATCAGATAGGCACAAATGAACAATAGACAAATTCAATTAAAATTTATATCTTAAAGCTCAATAAACCACCTGATGAAACCCTTTTTTCCCACATTCAAATGTAGAAAACAAAAAATCAGATAATACTGAGGCCGTACAGTGGGACATGAATTGGTGGACTCCGTACAATTTATATTTTCTCTGGCAGTGTGTGCTCTACCATGACTGACTGCAGCCAGGTAATTTAAAACTCATGACATAGCAGAAGTTATACAGATGGACAGTCATGAGTCAGGGGAGGCTCATCAGCTGCTGGATGCAAGCTCCAACTCTTAAACCTTTCACCATTATTTGGACCTGGACATTATTTGGACATTTTCTGGGTAGCGTCCTCAAGGCTCCCTGGAACTATCGGACTGATATTATCTATATTAGTTGGCGGGTTGGGAGGGTTGGAGTTGGCATGAATGAGTGGCACGGTATGATGACATGTTGCTTGTTACCTTATTTTCCTTGGGAGGGAAGGGAATTTATTGACAGAGGTGAATTTTTCTACCAGGAGGGGTCTGTTTTGATGGCGCCTAACTTTCTGGGTGCTCAACCCCAGGTTATGAATCAGGAAGGACCCGATTCTCACAAGGTGAATAATACTGCCTTCCGAATTATTCCAATTGAATTTGCATGTGGTGTGAGTGGTTACATAATATATTTGATACCATTATAGTTTATTTCATATGATGATGTACATGTATTATTGAATTGAAATTGAAATTGAAATTGAAATAAGTTTATTGAGGTAAAATACACACAAAGGGATGAGGTAGCTCAAGCTATTCTCACCCCATTGTATTATTGAATGAAATGTATTCTTGTGTGGGAGATGATCAGGGGCTTGCCTGAATGTGTACACAAATATTTTGTGTCTATTACATGTGAGGTGAGGGAGAGTCTAGGTCGGGTGTTCATGTTGCCAGTTTGTTTAATCATTCAGAATTATTGTTTTCCTTTAAAGAATATTTATTATATTAGTTATTATTCCAGAATGTGTGTGTAATAATATTATATTAGTATGATAATAGCTGTTTGAGCGTAGTTATTTCCACATTTAGTTTGTTAAACGTTATATCAGACGTTAGGTAACCTGGCATATACCAGGGCCTGGTATATGCCAGGGCGTCGAAGGCCTGGTCAACGACCAAGCCGCGGGAATGCTAAGCTCCAGAAACACTTCGAGGTAACTAACCCTGTGGGAGTGTTCCAGAGGTGTGCGTGTGGAGACCACCACCTCAGTAGATGTGGAGAAACGGAACTGGACAGATCTTTTTATTAAGTCGAGTGTAGCCTTTTTGTTCTGTACTTAATTAATAATATCTGAGATAATATCTGATCTGAATATCTGAGTAGACAAGATACTATAACAAGCCATACAGTGAAGTTTATGAGATTGTAGATTTAACCCTTTAGTTGCGCAAAACATCATATGATGCGTTGAGTGACTTGCAGTAACTTGCGCTTGGCATCATATGATGTTTAAGAGTACCGCGCAAGATTTAAACGGCCCGCGGATACACAGGGTTCACCACACCTTCATCAGGGCTCTTATAAACAGATGCCATTTAAAAAAAAAATCGTGCGCCAAATTCCAGGATGTGAGGGGCCTGAGTATCGAGTGAGCTACCAAGCCTGACGCACGCAGCATGAGCTCACAGCACTGCTGTTTAGCTTGTGACCACAGCATCGCCTAAAAATGCCATAATATACATTTTCTTGTTATTATTTAGCGATGATATTATTACAGAAGACCCCTGACTGTGATGAAACTGACCAGGGTTCTGATAATAGCAGGATTGTGGTGATATTTAGCGCTGTGCTACATGGAGGGAGGAGTAATGCTGTGGGAGGGAGGGTGGTGGCGATGTCTTCTGACTCTGTGTGGCCACCTTTTATTGACTGCACTCACTATACCAGCTTAGTGGTTCGCTATGGTGAACACAAATGTAGATACTTATATATAACACGAGTATAGAGTGTAATAACAGCAATAGGAGTAGGTTGGGAGCTGCCATTTTGGTGAGGGAGGTGCGTCGTCTGCACGACTTATGATGTTTACTGGTGACCACTATGGTCTTTGGGCACCATACCAGCTTACTTGTACAAGTATGGTGAATAAAACAGGTAGATACTTATATATATAATGTGTGTATAGCGTAATAACACCACAAACAGTATTGTTGGAGGAGAAATATTAGTGCGTCTGACCTTGAGGGCGGCCGCCACCAGCTGACTGTGTGAGTAGCTATGTCTTTGTGCCTTTACTCATCATACAAGCTTAGATGTACAGTTATGGTGAACAAAACATGTAAATACTTAAATATAACATCTGTATATAAAAGCAAAAGCAGTATGGTGGGAGGAGAATGGTGGTGAGTCAGGTGAGGTGAGGGAGGGAGGGCGTGGCAGGCTGCCACTGCCTGCCACTGCCACTCAGCATATTAACTTAGTAGTTCATTATGGTGAACACGAATGTAGATACTTATATATAATGTCTGTATATAGTGAATAAAAGCAAAAACAGTATGGTGGGAGGAGAATGTGGGCGAGTGAGGTGTTGAGGGAGTGAGTGGCAGCGAGTGGCTGGCTGGTGTGTGGCGGTCACTCCTCGTTACTTTTTGACTCATAATAGCAACTTAGTGGTTCGTTATGGTGAACAAAACATGCAGATACTTATATATAACCTGTGTATATAGTGTAATAACCGACAAAGTATTTGTTCACTGTTTGATGAACATAATTGAATCAACAATATGCACACCATATTTTTGAGTACAGCGATGATTCACTCATTTTATTATATAAATATATCACACTACACACTATTGAATAATATTACAGCAAAAAAACTAAGAAAAATCAATCAGAGACATTGAAATAATTAGGTAATTATCTCTTTGTGGCAACTCCAGCCTGACAGCTGGCGAGCAACAGACCGGCTGGGATGCACGCTGAGTCAACGCCTGTTGTTTGCCACACTTCCCCGCTCTATAGTGGGCAATATATGCCACTTACGATTTTTTTATTATTTTTTCCCATGATCAGTGAACACAAATTAACAGGTTTAGAAGAAAAAATATTTTTTTTTTTTTTTTTTTTTTTTTTTTTTTTTTTTTTTTTTTTTTTTTTTTTTTTTTTTTTTGGTATGCACCTATGGGTGACACATGCTAAATAGCCAGGCACCATACAAGGGTTATGTAGCTGCCTAGTGGAGATTTTCGTATATATATTTATTCTTAAGTTCTAATATTAAAAGTTTATACTTTACTTGTGTTTGTGTCCCTCCCTCGGTGAATTACTGGTGCTTGTCCTCTTTCATCACAGGGGTTTTAGGCTCATACCCTGGATCTTATCAAAATGTGATAGGCCCCGGTAAAAAGGTAATACTGTGTTAGGCACGAGTCTACTGCAGGAGTGGGGTGGTTAATACCCCGGTCGATGGTAGACATGAATATATTCTTATACAATGGAGTTTCATAGGCTATTGTTCCGTGCAGCTCTCTGAGGGGGACCATGTTCTAGCTCATGGTCCCCGGTAGGCTCTAACTCTGTAAGACTGAAGCGCCAGACTAATATAGCTAATATCAGTCCGACAACTCCAAGGAGCCGACGGGGCTCCCGTCGGCTCAAAACATGACCCACAGAAGAGAGAATTACTGTATTCTATAATACAAAATATATTAAATGCTTGGTTAAATATATTAAATTAAATATAATAAATATATTAAATAAAAATATAAATTTAAATACAAATTCTTGTAGGTAGAGTTCCATCAAATGGTTTACAATCATACTGAGAATCACTAACTATAATCATTGCACACTGCAACACCACACAAAATGCAACATAAATAGTTTTTATTATGATTTGCACTTTATTTCCAATAATGTCAATGATGATCAATGCAGTACAATACATATTTCCATGAAAACAATTACCCTAACATAAAATAAATAAATCAGTGTTGAATGTAATGCAAAGTCAATTTCTGGGTGAGCCCTGGTGGCTCCCAAAAGCTACACAACTGATACAGTGCCAAACTACGAGGTGCCATCAGTCGCCGAATTCTTATTGGCCAATTAGAGACCGCGAGCCAGAACCTGGGGTCCTCAGAGAAGCGAAGCAAGTGTAGACTATATGAAGACCTTTTTATGTTATTTATGTCTGCCACCACCAAGGGAAGACACCCAGAAAGTCAGGAAAACAAAACGGACTACTGTTTGGTTAGAAACAAGACTGCAGCCTCAAAACTGCCATAATAACTCCCCCATCAATGTGAAAATTTGTGAAACTAGCACAAGCTAGTTTGCCCCACCTCCTCTGCCCATTTGTGGGGAGAACGAAGCAGACAGGGTCAGGGGGCTGCTCCACCTCCAGTTCTAATGATGAAAACCAACTTGACACCCTGGCAGAAGAAGGGTGTCAGGGAGCCACCAGGGATCCCCCAGAAATTAGCTTTTTGTTACATTCAATGCTGGTCTTCTGGGGACATCCATTGTGGCTCCCTGAGGCTATCTACCCACAGAGGAGGAAGAAAAGGCACACACCAGAGATGTAGAAGCACCGTAGGGATGAAGACAAAAAGAGATCAATGGCCGCAAAACATGACCCAAGGCCACACAAAGATGCAGAAAACCTGGAACATCCACAAGATACCTTGGCTGCCAAGACCCTGTTCGACCACAAAAACCTCCATACACAATGAACTTTCCAAGACATATGAGTAAAGAATGCTGAAAGGTCGACCAATAGAAGCACTTCAAGGGCCCAAGGGTAGAACGCAGACTGGCTAAAGCATAAGACACTGTGGATGACCTGAGAAACAAGCCCTGGAACAGGGAACCAGAGAAACCAGAGCAACTACAAAGAGACCACTGAAACAGTACTGGTGGCATGAAAGCAGTGGCATAAAGCCGCCATCTGACAACACACGATGCACCCCCGGCAGAAACAACCAAGCGTCCACCATGAAAGGTCCCACCAGGAGTCTAACGACCCATTCCCAGCCAGAAAAGGAGGAACCTACAGCAACCTAGCAAGCCAGGATCAAAGAGGACATTGAATATACAGTAGACAAAAGAAAGAACCTGGACAAGGGACCAGGCACCTCAGGCGCCGTAGGATCAGGACAGAGCTGAAACAATGCGTGAGGAAAGCATGTAAAACAAGGCCAAAGAAGAAACAGCCCTGAATGCAAGCTGAACTGGCTCTGCCAACGTCACAACGTCACTTCCTAGCCTAGCAACAAATCTCTAATTATTCTCACTAAAATTTTTTCTAAGGTTGCCATAATGTCCTCTTCTGAAGTCAGGTTTTTCATCTGCTTCAACCTCATTTTCCTCCAGATTATAACGCATTGCATACATTATTCCCAAAAAGACATGGTCACCTTTACCCAAAGATACGATTTTGAAGGTACTGAATGTCAAATATCTCTTCCTCCTTCCTGGTAAATATCAAATCTAGCATGGAGGGAACGCCCCCTTCCCTCATCCTCATAGCTTGTTTAACATGTTGATACAAGAATGTTTCCAGGATGAGGTCTACAAATCTACAGGTTCAAAAGTCCTCTGTTCTAGCTTCATATGCTTCCCAGTCTATGGATTTCAAGTTGAAATCGCCGACTATCAACAGTCATGATCTATCTTTATCCGCTCTTGCTATAATCTCTCTCATGATTGTTATAAGACCATTTCGTTTACTATCTAGCTCCTCCTTTGTCCATGTGTTGCTTGGCAGTGGACTATATGCATTTATGATCTTCGTTTATCATCCTCATGGCAGATCTCTATGCTATTACGTCAACTTCTCGTGGATTGGCAATCATTACTGAAATAATGATTGCCAATCATTATTTGCCAAGAACACCTTTTAACAGGTGTTCTTTCACCAGCCCAGCAACACCACCGCCTTTCCTAATTTTTCTGTCTACCACTACTCATGGTACCACAACTCCCAGAACCTGGCCCCCCTCCCCCGAGGGGGAGACCAGGTTCTGACTTGTGGTCCCTGGTAGGCCAGTAAGAACTCCGTGACTGATGGCACCTAGTAGTATGGCACTGATTCAGTGTAGTTGCTTCAGGAAGCCACAGGGGGCACCCCCCTGAAATCATAATATTAAATGATGAATTTATTGTTCACTGGTTATATAACTTAAATCACTTTGTAATTTTACACGTCATTATTTTATGAATATGAAAAAAGTCACATTAAACCGGTAATTAAACATTCGTATCTTCTAAACAGGTTCTACCAAACTAAAATAACAAACCCAACAAATTTTATATTTAAAGACAACAGTTCACACTAATCAACAAAAGTTCTACTGTAAAAGATCATAAAAGTCGAAAATCATAAATAATATGTAAAGAAAAATCTGAATTCTACTGATAAATGTGGTTTGATAAGTGTAAAAGAGAAGACAAAAGAGAAGAGACAGTGCCAGAGTGTGACAGTAGCATGATCATCACAAGGGTGTCATCATCACAGGGGGGGGGGCATCATTATAATTATTGAATTTAGAACCACTACTCTAATAGTAACTTCTCTTCTGGCAGTCAAAATGTCAAAATTGTTTAAATAATTTGCAACCTTTTGTCCATAATTATGAATTTCTATAATCCTAATAGTTTGGGGGAAATTTCCTAACTTCAGATTACTTTTGTCTTTTTTAGTCTACTGTAAGAAGAAAGCCATATATATAAAACTGGAATATTGTTGGCTAAGCTAGACTAAGTTATATGAAAAGAAGCTATCTGAGAGGCCAGAAAGAGCTTGTCTGCAAATGTGAGGTATACTGGATAAGGTAAAATCATAAATCGCTTTACAAATTTATTACTTGTTCAGTGTCAGGAATATGAATCTCAAGGAAAGACAGTAAAGAGAAATAAGAAGGAAAAATGTAAAAAAAAAAAGTAGAAAGAACAAAAAGGAAAAGGTATGTACAGTATTATTAAAATAAATAATACACAATAAAGACTAAAAGATCATTCACTCATTTATTCCTTCTACCTTCACTTACCAGCCCTTCTGCTGCTGTTCACCACGATGCTGATCAGTTGGACGCACAAAGGGAATACGGAAGTATCGTTGGCTGTTACTACTGGTAGGGGAGCTGACCTTGGGCGCAACACGTGGTGGGTTAGCCTTTGCTGTAAATAAGATTAGTTGTAGTTAGGACACAAGAGACTTGCAAATCAAATTTAGAAGACCATAAAAAACCCAGCATTGAATGTAATGAAACCCCATTTTCTGGGTGAGACCTGGAGGCTCCCCAGAGCTATCCAGGATGATATGGATATATTAGATTTCTGGCATCAGTCAATGTGCATGAAGGTTTAGGCCTACCGGGGACCACGAGCCAGAACCTGGCCCCCTCAGAGAGGCATGAGGAGCAATGGCCTATACAAACCTCTCATGTGGTTGGACGCATTCAATGTCTGCCACTGACTGGGTCAGGCACCCAGAAAGGTAGGTGCCCCAAAACAAACCCCTATTCTGGTTAAGAAATTGCTACTGAAAGCCGAACTAGTGGACAGAATTCCCCAAACGAAAACGAGTAAACGAGCATGATGTCATCTTCATGCTCCATTATTATGGAGGCAAGCGACAAGCTGTGCCGCTTGTCTGCCCCCTACCCCCATCCCCATGAGGGGGAAGGGGAAATGGGAAGCCAGTTGGAAGTCGAGACAACTGGCTGCAACCGCCTACCCAAAGCGACACAGGCCCGACTAGGCCCAGCGAATATTCATGAGGTAGCGTGCAGCCAAAACCCTGTTCAACCTCCAAAAACCCTGCAACCCGAATGTCGGCCCAGGACATGTTGCTAAAGACGGCAGCAAGAGCAGCGAACTTACGAACGTCATGGGCACGGGGATAAAACGCAGGCTGGCTAGCTAGCCTTAATAACCTTGCGGACGACCTGGAAGACCCGCACCCATGAATAGGGAAGGAGGGAAACCGGATCAACCTAAAGCGCGTCCCCGGACACAGAAGCCGTGGCACACAAATAACTGTGGAGGGCCACAACCGGACACAAAACATGATGCACCCCCGGCCTGACCAACCAAGCATCAACCACCCATGTACCCCTCCGGAATGCAGCAGTCTCATTCTTCGCCAGAAAAGAAGGAGACGGCTGCAGACGAACAAACCGAACACCACGACCGAAAGAGCAGAAACCCCTGCGCCGGAGAAGAGCATGGAGCTCCCCGACCCGACCTTCAGAGGCTAATGCCAACAGGAAAAGAGCCTTCGAGAAACAATCCTGAACCGAAGGGGCCACAACAAACCGAGGAGAGAAAAGAGAGCACTCTGCCCAAAGACCAGAATGGCTCAGGCGGAGCATGAGCAGGCAGGAGGTGAAACAACGCACGAGACAGCTTGCGAAACAGCTGTCTCAGCAGAAACAGCTTCAGCTGGCACAGAAGTAACATCAATACCGAACAGTAAAGTGGCCAAGCAGAGGCAGGACCCAAGGAACTTGTGGAAGATGGCCCCAAGCCCCAAGGGCAGTACTTACAGGACACCTAGGGACGATAACCCTAGGTGCATGCAGCCCAAGTACTGTAGAATCCTGGCTCGCGCAACCCCTGGAGGACAGTCACCACACACAAAGCACAGTGCTGACAATCACTGGAGCCAGAGCACATGTCCTCAGCCTCTAGCATCAGCCTTAGAACTGAAGGATGGATGGCTGGCACGGGGGTCTGGGGCTCCCCTTCCCCCTCCCGGGTAGGGGGGAGCAGCGCAGACAGCGGCGCGGCGGCGTGTGATGTCATGCTCATTTGCTCGTTTTTTGGGGGGAGTTCTATCCACTTGTTCGGCTTTTTGTAGCAATTTTCACCAGAACAGTTTTCTTTTGGGATGTTTACCTTTCTGGGTGCCTGACCTGGTCGATGGCAGACATAAAATACTTCCAACTACACTGGGGTTTCTATAGGACATTGCTCCCCATGCCTCTCCGAGGGGGCCAGGTTCTGGCTCATGGTCCCCGGTAGGCCCACAGAATTCCGTACACATGACTGATGCCAAAGTCTGACATTAGCATATCAGCCTGGATAGCTCCGGGGAGAAGAAGGGGTTCCCCCCAGAAAAACCACCGACCAGAGGGAAGGACAGAGGAAGGGAGGGTTGTTAGGAAGCCTCTGGGTCTCATCCAGAAAAATGGCATTTTATGACATTCAACGCTGGTTTTCTAGGAGCAGCCCCTTTGGCTTCCCGGAGCTACTTACCCAAAGAGAACACAAGAGGGACAAACCCGGGAGGCAATCGCCAACACAGCAAACGCACAAAAGTCATGGGCAAGAGGAGAGACCAAAGATAATGGCCCTGGAACAACCACGACAGTAACAACACAACAAACTGAACAGAGACAGAAGTACACCTATGAAGAGACAAAAAGATATGGAAGGACCGCCAGGAAACTTCATACTGCCGCTGAGACGAAGCATGCAGGTGGGACTCCATCAATGAAGCCACCTACCTAACATAAAAGTGGTGATACACCCGAGTACAAAAGACCGGACGCGAAGACTAGAGAAGATCGAACTAGCCATGCAATGGACTGGTCCGATAAGCTGAAAGATGCGGAGCCGCGGGAAGATCCCCCAGGTTCAGACACCAAACAAGCAGCATCTGAAATCAAGGCTGGGCCGGCCACCAAGGAGCCAAGAGGACTACTCTTCCCTGGTAAGTCTCCAAGTGAGCTAGGACCTGAACTAGAACCTGTACCTCTTCCCCCTGAACTAGGGGAAAGAGGTACAGGTAACCCCACCTTGACCAGTTCAGCCGCAAGGCATCGACCCCGATGGCCTTGCAGTCAGGGAAGGGTGCCACGTATAACAGGAGACACCTCGACCACGCCGACACAAAGAGGTTCATCTCCAGGAGCACGTACATCCGGCAGAGCCAACTGAATGAATCAGCATCGACCGTCCATTCCGTGGACAGGGGAATGAACCGAGACAGGCAACTTGCCAGGACGTTGGACACCCACCGAACGTGAATGACCTGGAGAACCAAACCCCGAGAACTCAGGAAACGAGTCACCCAAAGCGTCTAGCCCCAAAGAGCCCAGGACTGCATCGAACCCCCTCGGTTCAGTCAAAGAATCCCCGGGGAACAGTCTGAATGGAACCGGATCGTCGATCCGCGAGCGACCCAAACCCTCTGAAGCAACATCCACACCGCCGCAAACTCCTGCACTGTGCTGTTTGCCCGACAGAAGACCAGACCCCTTTGCCCCTTGCTGACCTGGTGAGCAGTGGTCACAAGGGCGCCTACCTTTCAGGGTGCCTGACTCGGTCAATGGCAGTCATAGAATGCTTCCACCCACATAGGGATTTCCATAGACCATTGCTCCTCGTGCCTCTCTGAGGGAGCCACGTTCTGGCTCGTGGTCCCCGGTAGGCCTAGAACTCCATTTGCTTGACTGATGCCAGAGTCTAACACATTCATATGAATGTGTTAGACTCAGCCCAGATAGCTCCGGGGAGCTGAAGGGGCTCCCCCAGAGAAGTACATTCATTCTATAAATCTCTTTCTCATTGTGGAGATACCAATAATAAAAGCCTGTACACTCAAAAAAATGTCTCGAGTTAAAGTTTGGCCATTATATTTATCTCTATTACAAATACTAAATTCTATAATCCATTAACTGCAATATAAAAAACCAGCGTTGAATGTAATTAAATGCCATTTTCTGGGCGAGTCCTGGAGGTTCACTGGAGCTATCCAGGCTGAAACGGATATATTAGACTTTGGCATCAATGTACATGGAGTTCTAGGCCTACCGGAGACCACGAGCCAGAACCCGGCCCCCTCAGAGATGCACAACAAGCAATGGCCTACAGAAACCGCCCCTGTGTGGTTGGAAGCATCAACCAGGTCAGGCACCCAGAAAGGTAAGCACCCCAAAACAAAACCTTATTCTGGTTAACATTGCTACTGAAAGCCGAACTAGTGGACAGAACTTCCCAAATGAAAATGAGCAAACGAGCATGACATCACCATGCCGCTGTCTGTGCAACCCCCCCTCGTGAAGGGGGAAGCCCCAGACCCTCGTGCCGTTTACTCACACCCCAGTTCTGAGGCTGGGTGTTAAAACGTGCGAAAAAAAAAGCCAACTGGAGGGAGGGAGGGTTGCTGGGGAGTCTCCGGGTCTCACCCAGACAATAGCGTTTCATTACATTCAACGCTGGTTTTCTGGTGGAAGCCCCTGTGGCTTCCCAGAGCTACTTACCCAAAGAAAAAACCAAACAATAGGGACTTACCCGTGAGGCGGTCGACTATCGCTCCTCAACTCGAAGTCAAGACAAATGGCTGCTACCAGACAACACATGGCGTACCCCCGGCCTAACCAACCAAGCATCAACAACCCAAGGACCCCTCTGGAAAGCAGCAGATTTAGGCTACACCAAAAAAGGAGGAGACGGCTGCAAACAAAAAAACCTACCATTAGGGCCAAAAGAACAGAAACCCCTGCGCCGGAGGAGAGCATGAAGCTCCCTAACCAGACCCCAGAAGCCAATGCCAACAGGAAAAGAGCCTTAGAAAAACAATCCTGAACCGAAGGGGCCATCACAAACTGAGGAGAAGAGAGAAAGGAGAGCACCCGATCCAACGAACAGGACGGCACAGGCGGCGCATGAGCAAGCCAGAGGTAAAGTACCGCATGAGACAGCTTGTGGAACGGAGAAGAATCAACACCAGTACTGAACGCAAGCTGCAGTGGCTCCGCCAGCACTGCATGATACGAGATAATAGTATTCAGCATAAGATGACAGTCCTGGAACAACCAAGAGAGGAAGGATAAGACAACCCTATCCAAGACAGAAGTACACCCACACACAGACAAGAAATATAGGAAGGACCGCCAGGAAACTTCATACTGCCACCGAGATGAAGCACGCAGGTGGGATACCATCAAAGAAGCCACCTGCGCACCATACATGTGTCGATAGATCAGAGTCAGAAAGCTCAGACGTGAAGACTCGAGGAGAAGAGCAAACCTACCATGCACCTGGTTGGACTGATATGCTGAAATAGGCAGAGCCCCAGGAAGACCCTCAGATTCAGACACCGAGCAAGCAGCGTCTGAACCAAGGCTGGGCCAGAAGGACAACTCTCCCTAGGTATGTCTCCAACCGAG